AACTCTCCTTGATGGTTGGGGGTTTGACCGCAAAGATAATCCACAGTTTGAAGGTTACAAATTTGACCCTAAAGGTGAATAGGTATGAAGGTGGCTTCCTGAACTTGCTAGGCTTCCTACCAAATTGATACACCACCAATGGGATGCGCCAGAACTTGTACTTCAAGCTGCTGTGGTTGAACTGGGCTCTAACTATCCTCTCCCCATTGTAGGAATAGATGCAGCAAAAGCCAGGTTGCAGGAGGCTCTTTCAGATGTGGCAGCATGAAGAAGCCTTGAGAGCTATAGCTGAGAATGGATCTGAGGAAGGACTTGGGGATTATTCTGATTCAGTTCCATTTTCCTTTCCACAAGACATACAAATGGAGGTGGATCATGAACCCATTAGAAACAACCCAATTACTATGGTTAGACAATAAGGGGATCGGATGGTCCCTAGTATAACTTCTTCATTGATAAGAGTTGAAGAGGACAAAGGTTCTTCTATGGATCGTAGACACCTTCCTGACCTGAGGATGGTAATCCAGAAGTGCCAGCAAATTTAAATCTAGATTTGGAACCTCAGAGAGACATATTAAACCAAGGTGATGTGCAAATGGCTAGAAATAATAACACATTATTACAGTTCAATGCTAATCTATGGCTGCACAATGCTGAAGACTCCACTGCAGAATCTTCTAGTAGCAGCAACGGAAGAGGGAGAGATAGGGGCATAGTTCCAGTTTGATGATCTCCCTCAGGTTCTAGCTACTCAGAGCAGTTTGTGGGTGAGGAACACTGGCTTGGAAGCAGTTCATCTTATTTGCAGAGGCATCCCCAGTCCCACCAAGTAGAGATGGCAATTTGACCCATCCCCGTTGGGCTCTGCCCCACCCCGCCCCAGTTGGGGCAGATTTTTTGACGGGTGGATTTTGGGGAATCCCAAAATTCTAGGGATCAGAGATGGGGCGGAGATGGTATTTGTCCACCCAACCCCAAACCCACCTGACTATATTATATTGCATAGTATATATAACTGTTAATATATATTATATTATATAATTCTAGGTAGGTTTCAAAAAAATAAAAAAATAAATTTGCAAGTATGCAAGTAGGAATGACCAGGGCAGGGCGGGGAATTGGAATTCGGGGTCCAAGATGGGCATGCAAAACCCAGCCCCGCCCCACCCCGTTGCCATTCCTACCACCAAGTAATGAATTGGAGGCAGCTTTCACAAACTGGCAGGACAAGAAGCTAAGATGTGGAGAACTGGAGACTAATATGATGATGGATCGACCCCTTACCATAAAATATTCTCTATATTTTTTCTCCACTGTATCTTAAGCACACTGTTTATACAGGAGTCTCCATGTCATCCTCTCCCCCCCTGTTTTCCCTTTTCCTTTCTTGTTTTATACCATATATGGTATGCTGTATAGCAATTGATGTTCTGCTAAGGTGAGAAGTATTACTAAAGAGTTGTGGTTATATAATAAACCCATATCAGTGCCTTGTCTTTTATTGAGTAGGCATGTATATTTATCACCATCCATGTGTGCGAAAAAAATCAAATAAACAAATACCAATAAAAAAATATGGTCAACATATGGTTATAAAAGTTGAGCTTAGGTCTCTTAGTCTTTTGAGAGATTTTAAGAGGATGGGAGAAGGTTGGGTTGGGTCCAACCTGAGCCCAACCCAAACTGAAGTAAATTTAGGATTGGGTTAGAGGTGAGGGATTTTAGGTTGGGTTAGGGATAGGGTTGATTGGGTAGGGTTGGGTTAGGGTTAAGGTGGGGGGTTTAAAACCCCAACAAGGTGCAAGTCAGGCCAGGTTAGGTTGGGTTTAGGTCAACCCTAACCTGACCTGGAGTTTTCAGGTTGGGTTAAGATCGGGCTGGGCTTGTGTTGGCCCGACTTCTCTTCTTTTTTGCCAAATGTTTTTATTTCCTAAAATGAAGGGTTGAGGTCTACCTACATATGCACATTAATGGATGCATAGTTGCACATATACATATATTCCACATGCATACATACATGTATACATAAGTACTTCCATAATAAATGTTATATACATACAAATATAATTAGGGTTCAGGTTTGTCAAGGTCTCAGCCCTAATCTAAACCAAAGTTAAGTTGGGTTCATACTTTTAAACCTGAACTTCAACCTGACTTTTTGGGCTGGGTTCAGGCTAACCTGACCCAAGTTGCAGCTCTACCCCTATGAGCTACTAGCATCTTTGCTTACATGGGAAAATCTTCTGATGTATGCTTGCACTTTTTCTTTTGTGCACATTGATTAACAAATGTGAAGTTTGAGATTTACATTGTTTCCTTGATTAACAAATGTGAACTTTGAGATGTATGCTTGCACTTTTTCTTTTGTGCACATTGATTAACAAATGTGAACTTTGAGATTTACATTGTTTTCTTCACTTCACCCTAATTATAGATGGAAACTGCAAAATCAAAGTTTTTGGTTCCTTAGGTGAGACATAAGCATCATTTAAATTGTGAATGCTGTGAATAATTATGTTTTTAGATCTGTCCAGATTATGTCCACATAGTGCTTTTGCAGTTGATGGTAAAATACTGGCTTTCCGCTCAAAAGAGGGGATAAACATGGTGAAAATTGTAAGAAGGAAGGAATGTTGTCGATTATTTTTAGATCCTGAGCTGAATGAAAAGTCTAGCTTTGGGGGGAACACAAAGCACCAACTGTTGTTTTGACCCTGGGAAGTTGAATTGATTTTTTTTTCCTGAAAAATGTTTGAAGTGATTCAGAAAGGTTCTGCCAACAATTGTTTTGGTATTGTAAATCTGAATCCATGCAACAAAGCTGGCTTCTGGGTTCAGCTGGAACTTGGGTTTGAGAAGGGAAATCAGGGACACAGAGTTAGATTGTATTTTATCTTTATTATCCATTCTTGAAGGGGTCTTCCTAGAGCCAACAAAGGAAGATAGTAAAATTTGGACACTCACTCCCTCGGGTTCTTTCACCTGTGCTTCTTTCTTTAAAGCCCTAATACAACCTTTTTCTGTTGGATTGTCTTTCCTTGTTAAAGAGGTGTGGTGTCATCCTATACCTCCAAAGTTTGTGAGTTTCTGTTGGGGAGCCTTTTTGGAAAGAGTTAATACAGGAGATTTACTTCAAAGAAAAAGACCCAATAGCTGTTTGTCTCCCCACTGGTGTGCCCTTTGTAAAGCTGATGGTGAGTCTGGATATCATTTACTAATTTCCTGTCAGTTTACTAAAGTCATTTGGGAATGATTTACTTCTTTGTTTAGGTGCAGGTGGACCCCCCCTTTGAATGTGCAGCTTATTCACTTCCATGCCTAACTGGCCAACAAAATGGGCTAAGATTATGTGGAGATGTATTAGGGCTGCAGTTTGTTGGACTGTTTGGGAGGAGAGAAATTCACGGATTTTTTCAAAAAAGGAGAGAAGCTTGGAAGTAATTTTGAAGGTCATCCATATTAGAGTGATACATTGGTTGAAAACTTTGGCCTTGTTTGCAGAATTCTCTGTTGATGAGTTGCTAAGAAACTCGAAGGAGATCGCAGAATTAGCTTCAGCTAAGAAGGCCTCAAGCTCTTGCTGGATTCCTCCACCTTACGGTTTTACTAAACTGAATTTCGATGGCAGCAGTATGAGTAATCAAGGGCCATCCAGAATAGGGGGAGCAATAAGAGATGAAAAAGGGAATCTGTTACCTATGTTTTCTGGTCCAATAGGGGTGGGAGATTCCTTGAGGGCTGAGATACTAGTAGCTCTTGAAAGGGTACAAAGGGTCAAGGACATGCATATTAATTGTGTTTCAGGCTTGTGTATGTTTAGTGTTTATGGTTCAGTCCTCAGGGGAGGTAACACCTCGTGCCTCCTCCTAGGCTGACTGTACTTTCGTTATTTAAATTAATAAAACTACTTTCATTTATAAAAAAAAAGGAGATTCAGAAGCTGTGGTGAGTGGTGAACTGGCTAAAAGAGGATAACTCTAGGCTCTGGAATTACAACAATGAAAAGAGGAAATTTAAGTGGCTGACTAAGGACATTGAAATTCAATGCACATGGGTAAAGAGAAGTGCAAACTCATTGGCCGATGGTCTAGCTAGGCAAGGGGTGAACAGAAACTCTATTTTTTGGGCTGTGTTGTAATTGCTTTACTTTTGGTTTGGTGTTCACTGGTTGTCTTCGGGAGTTAAGATTGTTTAGTTCCCTTGCTTTGTAATTTTCATAATCTTAATACAATTCACTGTTATTGATAAAAAAAAGCTGGCTTTGATGAAATCCACAACGTTCCTCTAATAAACACCTACTAGTAATTGATCTCATTGGGTAGAACTAGCCAATTGTTGTTGCTTTTTTATCTTTTTCAATGATAGATTGCCCCAGCCAGCTACACAACCTGGCAGGGTTCATATTCAATTAATGCAGGCATAAAGGAGTAGGGTTGTGTTCATGCCATAGTTTGTTTCTCTCACATTTCCCGTTTGAAACTGCTTTCTCTACGAGCATTGCCATCCTGCCACAAAGATTTTAAAGGTGGGCTTTGGTTGATATTTGCTGAATTTCATAGCTCTGCAGGTTTTCCACCCAAAATCAGAAAGGCAAGCTTTCCCCCAAATTAAGGGTCCGTTTGGTTTGCAGTCTTGAATTGGAATCCTCCGGGAATTGGAACGAGAATTGTCCATTCCCATCTGTTTGGTTCAGACAGGAATGGGAATGGGAATTGAAATCAGAAGGAATGGGATTTCATTCCCGAGGGGCAGGGAATGACCATTCCAGGAGTGGGAATGGGATCCGATTCCATCCAACCAAACAGTTGGATTGGAGTCTGAATAGCCCATTCCAATTCCGATTCCAGACTCCTATTCCCAAGAATCAAACGGGGCCTAAGTCCCTCTTCAAGCTGCTCATGCTTTTGTTGTTCGACTTCGTCATTGAGATTGGCAGATTTATTCCGTTTTCTTTTTATTGAGATAATTCCTTGACTGATTTATTCACTTAAAAATGGCAGATTCTTCTCAACCCTCTCTACTTACCTGGGTCCCGCATCACATCATCACACTTTGATACAAAAGTTCGAGCCCTGGCTAGAAAGTATCTGTAAGTCAATCCTCTCAAATGGAGACAAGGAGTTCATGGGAAGCAACGTGAAAGGGTCACTAGGCTTCCAAAACTTCATATCAACACCTGTCCTGTGATAATCGTTAATAGTTACATTGTCTTTTATGTGTTTGAAAGTAGTTTGATTTATCATTTACTGCTTTTAATTAAAGATTATTAGGGAAAAAAATTGATAACCTCTTATTCATGTTATCTATTGACTTGTTGAAGTGCTACATTGATGGCTCTAAGCACCATATTTTGAAGAGAGAAGGACCTAATTTAGAAGTACAGAAGTTTAATATACAATGTATTGTATATGAAACAAGTAATTGTACTACTATTTTCATTTTTTTTTTCAACCACACTAGGCTGTGCTTAGGCAGATCCATAATACAAGGCAATTTTTCTGCTTTTGCGGAAAGAAAGCTTGGGGTTTCCTTTGAATCTATCCAACAGTTACATTGAATGAAAATGCAATAGAGAGATCAGCCATTTAAAAGTCTTCTCTACCTACACCCTTTTTTGCATGTTTATTTCTGGCCTTCAGCAGATCAACATGACAATCATGAATATGAAGTCATGAATCATATCTCATTCTTCAAAAACATTCCCAATGGCTATCCTATGCGCAGCTAATTGGTTACGCTGCATGGCTGATTGCAAGAATTTACTTTCACACCTTCCCTGCTATCAGTTACTTGTATTCCCAGGCCCTGTAACCCAGCTGTACATGGGGTAGCCAAATTTGCACTCGACTGTAACTCTCCATGGACCTGGTCTATGCCTCCTAATTCTCTTGTTCACACTTTGGAGGCTGACTTGTAACTGAACTTTGTTGATTGAATGGATTACTGTGGTCGTTTTAAAGAAATTCCCAATGTCAGATAATCACTTGTTATTGCCCTACACAAATAACTTACTCTTAATCTAATACATTGCACTCTTTTATCTCCAAGGGGCTTGCATTGTAATTAGTGAGGTCCCTTTTTTTTTTTTGCATAAACTCATAAAAGCATAGCGACTTTTCTGCACCTGATCCTTACCTCAAAGCAGGTCGCACCTGAATTGGGCAATCGTTGGCCTTACTCAACAGTTTTATCTAGTGGGCTTTCTTATAATTAGCAAAATGGGTGAACTCTTTCTGTATAAAATTAGATCCATGTTGGCATGTTGCAAAGAGCACTTGCCCAAACAAAGTGGCACAAGAGCTCTCAATATTTGTTTGAGACTGGGACTAGATTTTAGCTAAGTGGGCTCGACAAACAATACAGCTGGGTGGGGTAAGGTGTTATTAGAGCTAAAAACGAGTGGTCTTGGTTAAAGCAGGAGCATTTTATATGGACTCAATCCTATGGAATTACAAATTACAGCGTGTCTTTGCTCTTCACAACAAAAACTCTAAAAAATAATTTGGGATTTTTTTTTCCTCAGTCATGATACTTGATCAACGTGTCAAGAAAATTTTTAGCTGTCCACAGGCTCTCTCTCTCTCTCTCTCTCTCCACTTGACAGGTCAGTTCATAGCCATGTCTCCAGCATTGTTTTTTTTTGCATGGAGTTCGTAAGGACTAACGATATTCAAATGGTTGGTAACCATAACTAATTAACCATCCATATATACATAAAAAAAATAATAATAATAAAAATTAACCATCAACAAGTTAGCAACTCAGCTGATAAACTCACAGTAACTGCTTAGCCTAACAACCCCAATTATAACCTCACAGGAGGTGACCAACAAACAAGATTAATACAGGCTTAATTATGAGTTATATGAAGAGAAGTACTGCCGTACATGTTTCATTTATTAAGAAGCCAACCACTGAATTTTACTCTTTGATTTTAATGAATCATAAAAAATCAATTAGATTTTTCAAAGATGGATATATACCCACTTCTTTATATTTCCTTTTCAATCTTTCTTACTAATAGGAGGAGAAAAACTAATGAATTAATGGTGAATTAAAACATTGAAAATTAGAAACTCAGGCACGTCTGTGGCGCTTGAGCACGTTTCGTTTATCTTAGGGTGATTCATTGTGGATGGGCGGTTTTCGATGGGGTTGCTCATAATCCATGACTACCACGTCATCGTGGTAATTGTTTTCCTTTTCCTGAACAGAATCTATAATCTCTTCGGCAGCGTGGGAAGCAGATCCTAGAACCGACCGTGCTTGCCGCTCCAATCCCTACACAAGCACCAGACGAATTCATTACAACACCATCCACCCGACCCATGAATTTTCCACCCATCGTCCATTCCACAAATTGCACCATTTCTTCTAGCTATACTAATTAATTTCTCCCTTTCTATATATATATATATATATATATATTCTCCCTTTCTATATATATATATTTATATTTATATTGTTCTTACTTAATCATGGATTCTCAAGTTTCAAGGTGAACACTAGCTTGCTTTTACCATGCATATACAAGCACGTCACATGATATACACATGGATGCGGACATCATATGGCCTTGCCAGCCTCAACATAAGGACAATTTCAAGGAGATGGACCATGTTTCTTGGTCGCCATTACTGCATACACATTAATCCTGTAGCTTAATGATTTTTTTATCACAGACAAATCTTCGGAAAAGATAAAATGCGAACATGGTGCAATTTACCTGTATATATTCTAGTTGCTTGTGGCAAACCCACCTGAGAAGAAGACATTATTATCTCAATTAACCCTGCACATCCCCATTACTATCAATGATGATGATGATAACAATAAAAGAAGATGAAGAACATTTCAGTATAATATATAACAAAATCGATAGCCGGAGTGGTGATACTTCTCAGTTAAAAATGTTATCTCTGATGTACAATAAACAGGAGAGCCAGGCATTGGCAACAAATACAGTGCAACTCTGTACTGTGGTGAGTTGTTAGAAGTTATATTGAGCAGTGATGTATATATGAGTTAGACAGATTCTTTTAATAAGGCTGTATTGCTTCTTCATTCTATTAAGTATGAAGCCACTTTTTTGGAAGTTCCTGGACTGGATGTCAGTTGAAGACGCAAAACCCAAGCTCAATGAGAGAAAAAGAAGGAAATGAGGTGGGCAAAGAGAGAATAAGGGTGGGTGTAGTGTAGTTCATCAGTTGTGAGAGGGAGGGTGTGTCTTCGGCGGAGAATAGTCCAAATTAAACCCCGGATATTGGCCACTTTTCTTACGAGGCACACGCCGTGGAACCGAAACAAGAGACTCGGTTTGAACAGCACCTGATATCTTTACTTTCTTCAGAGAAGCATCTGAACCCTTTGACTTCTCATGGGTGCTTGCACCTTCCCGGCACTTGTCCATCCTGGTTTCCCCATTTTCTGCTTCTTGTTTTGGTCTCTGATTTTCCTCTGGCAAGTGAAGTTTCGTCGTCGATGGGATTGAGGTCTTATCAAGTTTGCCCTCCTTCTCCAGATCCTGCTGCACCACAACCAGAGATGATTAATTATATTAGCTAGAGAAGAGTTGGACCTCTCTCTCTATATATATTCACCTAGTGACCTTATAAAACAAATTGAAACATTTATTTTTGCACTAACCTTGCCAGAAAGGCGAACTTGGCTACGGGACTCCAATAAGACGATGCCTCGGAGATGGCGGGCATCGCATGCACAGATGGAGAGACAATGAAGGAATAGGAATGGGAGGAGAAGAGAAGGCATGTTTGACATGACGAGATCAGATTTCTTGACTGTTCAAGGGCTAGAGGGTAGCACTAGCAGCTAGCTAGCTAGCTAGCAGTATTTATATTTATAGTTAGAGACTGGAGGAGGAAATTGAGCAATAAATGCAGGTATTGTAGGTAGTGAAAGAGGTTCTCCAAGAGAACGTGGAGGTGTATGAAAGATGAGACCTGAGGAGAAGAAAAATGAAGATATGTGGCGCCTTCTATGTCTCTTCCCTCCCTCTCATGTTTCAGTCATTTGGGACCCAAGACAGAGAATATACCCCCACCAAGGAAGAAGACGATTTTAGGCTCCTGGTGTTGGCGAACATATGCAGGTGGAACTTGGAAGGAAAAAACAGAGTCCGAAAGAGAGATTTTTCTTTGAAATAACAAAGGGAAACAAGAGGAGGATTAAGTTATATATATGTACAGAAAATGAAATAACAAACAAAAACAAGAAAGAGAGAGCTTGCCCCATTTGTTTCAATCGATGAGCTCCTTTCCTTGTCTTTGTCTTGGATTTCTTTACAAGTGTATGCATGATTGTGGCTCCGTGTTTGTTGCATGCTCTTAGAAATAGACTTGCCCCCCCTCCCCCTCCCCTATTTTCTTGAAAATCTTGCTACTTGGTTTATTAATCCAAAGGCGCCATGGTAGAAAATCTCTTCTAGCTAGGATGGATGACAACATCTATGCTATGATGCATCCTCTTCCTCGAAAATTGGTGTATATATTGACTCGGCTCACATCTTCTTCCCCTAGGGATTGTATATCAGATTGTGAGACGCTTTAAGCATTAGTTCCCACACCAGCTGCCTTAATTACTTGGCCTCAGTCATTCAATGGGTTGTTGTTTTCTGAAACTAGAAGTTTGAATGACCATTCCGATCGAAGCTATAGAATATGCGTCCTAAACACAGTTGGTTGCAGTATAACGGCTTCAAATGCCGTTCATCAATAAAATATACTGTCAGAGCACCGCCTGTGACGATTGGTCCAGGATCGGAATGAGATCATCAGAAATTTATATTAACACATTCTGTGCATGAAGCCGTCTATGACATGCAGTCCAGTCCAGTCTGTATATCCAAGTTGAACGTCAAAATGTAAATTAGTAAATATAAAAGATATACAAGACTAGTGTGACTGCACTGTGGTCGCAGGAAATCCTTTCTTCCGTGGGACAGGAGAGTCCCCACTCCCCATTTACTTTTTACTAGTTAGTTTTTACGCAGTCAAAACTCAAAAGCAAGTAGGACCGACAGAAGTGTGGAGAGTGGGGATTGAAGAGAGAGAGAGAGAGGAAATGGGAGGCAAAGCTGCATGACCAACCTCCTTGTGCACCTCAGGTGAGGGACATGAGAGGGAGAGACCCCCAACCTTGCAGTAATCCAGGCATGCACGCCACGTGGAAAGGAAAACTATGCTATTATAGCCACGTGGATATGGGACCGGATGCCTTCATCTGGTCCCAATCACCATCGTTGATGTTAGTTTTGCGTGTTTGTTTGTTTTCGGGGTCTATGTCGGCTTGGAGCGACGGCGCGACAAACTCGGTCCCGGGAGGGCTCGGGATTCGGGACTCTGCAGGGGTTGACAATCAGCTGACGGATTCATGTCTTGGAAAGTCGAAGCATCCTTGGTCATCTCGGCGCCGTTGTCTCCACGCTGAGGTGAACGTTACCATGCACAACCCCAGTTGATGTTATCATGTTATAGCCAGATCCAATCAGCCAAACCCAGATCGGTGATAACCGAGTTGTTGTGGGGACTGTGGAGTTGCAGCTGCTGGGGCGGGAGTACCAACATTTGGTTCTCTCTCTCAAATGCATTGCACCGTGAGGCGACAGTTGACACTGGAAGCTAGGTTGGGTGGGTGGTAAGTATTTTCGCACTGCCTAGATCTGTTGTCCCACTCGCAACTACTGATAAAGAAGAACTAAACTAACAATCTCTCTCAGATAAAGACACAGTTTTGTTAAAGCTTTTGACAACTACCATGTCGTCGTTTGGCGTCACAGATTCAAATATTGATCAGTTTTAGCAATTGAGTTGTGAAATGAATGAATTCACCAGGGATGGTGATTATGCCTTGTATTTCTACAGTTGGAAACCAATAAACCGCGCGCCCATATATAATCTAGTTCAGATTTTTATTTGGTTTCTTTCATCTAGCGAGGTAGGTTATGAGGATTGTGTCTCGACCGGTGATCCTGAAGAAGCGGTATTGGGTTGATTGCAACTCACAATCTCAATTCCCAACATACCTTCTAGGTTGCTCTTTAACTGAAGTTACAAGTTCAATCTGGAGTGGACACATTAGACTTGGTTTTCTGATTATTTAACCAAGAAATATTTCAAGTGATGAGAAAAACTTTGGCTGTCCACGTTCTACATCCTGTTCTGTCTACAGGGCTCACCCTGCTGCGTGATGACACGTTAATTCTAGGGACTCCATGCAGCAGTATCAGTGGTGGAGGCATGGCTGTGTGGATTAACATATCCACGTCGAGAGAGTTTGAAGTTTTTTCCTCTCTCTCTGTGATTCACCTGCACCGATATATGATTTGTCTGAGAGATAGGCATTATTTATTTATTTGTCCGAGTAGGAATCAATCCTACGACCAATTAACCGTCATCCAACTTATCCAAGCGTTGTTTTTCACATAACCATGAATTTACTATGCTCATGGAATACCCACAAGCCATCAGAAATTTACACCCAATCCCCAAAGGTAAGAAAGGTCTGAAGATTTTATATATAGGCTTCAAATATTAATATAATAATAGGTGCAAGTGCAACTTGACAGCTTGGATTCAACTCCTAGCCCGAGTGGCCCAAGCAAGCAAATAAATAAACAAATAAAAAAAGGATTCAGTTGGTTTATCATCAGGGTTACCGTTGATCATGTCAACCCAGTCAAGCGATTTGATTGGGTTGAGCAGTAAATCAATTTAATATTTTAGTTGATTTTTCATAACTTGGTTCAGAGTTTTGGAATTTCGCTCTTTTTTTCAAGATACTATATATTAAAAAAATAAAAATATGTTATAGAAATACTAAATATTAATAAAATAATTAAAATTAATATATCAAAAATAGTCCTAAATTTTATATAAAATCATCACGGAGGTTCCAAAATTACTGAAATTTCCATAACTCAAAACCTAGGTTTTAATGACAGACGATCTTTTCTTTTTCAATTCAAGGCATTGAAAAGAGAATCTTAATTAGGGACAAAAGAAAGAACATACAAAAGGTGTTGGTATGACTCAAGAGTAGTGCACCTAGAGATGTAAATTGCATTCTATTAGCAATTTACATGTAGAAATGGGATTTCCTTATACGGGCAAGAAAAAAGCAATCCACCGAGGAGAAGTCCACCTTTTGTTAGTTAAAGACTTAAATGTGTGCTTTTTATTTTTCTGGGTGGATTTGGAATTAAAATTGCAAGTTTGGAATTGGACCGTTGGAGTTTTAATTTTGTGGTTTTGCCGTGTTGGGTCCTTTTTGCAGTATGGATTTGGAAAAAATAACTCTAACTCTCGGCCTTCAGAGAATCCTTCGGAAGCGCAGAGCAGAACATTCAACAAATGACTTGACAGCCGGTTCGGGCTCTCTGGATTATTCACTATTATAATTAAGCTGTCGTGTAAATTAAATCCATCTCGATCGGAAAGCTACAAGCCCTCCCAAACAGGCACCAAGGCTACGCAAGTTGTCTTCACACTAGCATATATATTTGAGTTTTGAGAGCAGGCAACCTGGAGACAAACAGACAGTGGATCGATCGGAACAAAGGTGGAAAGCATCCTGATATTTCTCTTTGTAAAAGGACGGAATGAAATGATGGCAACACGCATTGAAACATTTTCATAGCTAGCTAGGGAAGGGGAACTCGAGATATCAAGTACACCACCATCTGTAGAGAAGTTAATCGAAGCGCAGATTTTTTTTAGCTAGGTTAAGTTAATTACACGATGGATTTCTTTTAATTGTAATAATCTTTTCGATCGGCTGAGTTTAGTTTGTGAAAAGATTTTTGGTAGGATGGGATGAAAAAGGAACAATGAGTGGAAAATTTTCAGATTCCATTGTTTTGGTTGCAAAAGGGAAAATAGTGGGGAAATCAAACCTAATAACACTAATTAATTAATTAATATTTTTATTATCTTATATTTTACTATAAATTACCTATTAAATATTAATATCTCATTAACTAGTTTTATAATAAATTATTTTATTAATTAATTTTGAAAATTAATTATTAATCAAGAATTAATATTTTAAATTTTATTTTATAAATATTTACTACGAATTATAAAATTAATAATTTTATATGTTATTCTTAATTATTCAAAATTTTTATTATTGATTTTTATTTAATCATTAATTTCAGTAATAATAAAATATTTATCTATTTATTCATTAATTACTTTTCTAATTAATTATTAACTTTTTTATTGTTAATTACTAATTAGTTAATTAAACTTTTTATTATTTATTATTTTATTATTAGTTATTTAAAATTAATAATTAGTTAATTACTTATTATGATTAATTTATATTTGAATTTTTATTATTTTATATTTTATTATTAATATTATATTTTATGAATGCCTATGACTTCATTAATAGTTAATTATTAATTATTTTGTTGTTAATTATTAGTTACTTAATAATAATTTTATGATTTATAAGTTATTAATTAGCTAAATAATTATTAACATTAATTAATATTTTAATTTTTAGAGGAAACTTCATTTTCACACTTTATAATTTTTTACTTTTTGTATGGTTGGCAACAGTGAAAGTGGGGTATTGATGCGAATTCAAAGGGGGATGTGGTGTGCTAGTAGGGATGCAAATAGATAATTGGATTCAAATCAAAGTATATCCAAATCTGATCTGATCGGATTTCACAAACATTGATTCAAATCATAATCCGTTAAGGACATTGGAATATGATCCAATTTGATTTATTTTTTTTAAATTAATAATTTATTAAAAGAAAAAATATAACAATTTATATAAAGAAAAACAAAAAATACAAGTATTTTTTTAACTATTTTCGTTATATATATACATGTTTTTCTATAAAAATTTACAACAATGCAATACAAACATATTTAAAAAATAAATAAATAGCATACACATGTGCACACACACATATATAGAATTCTTTTGGATTAGATAAGGGGTGACTCGAATTTGATCCATTTTAACCAAATCCTATTGTCCAATGATTCCAATTTGAAAGGGAGTATATCCAAATCTAACAAAATAGGATTAGATTTCGAATATCGAATCATGATTTGATCCATTTGCGTGTCTATGTGTTAGGTTAAGGTGTTGAAAATTTTAAAATATTGTGAACGCTAGGTGGAGTTAAAATTTATGGGGTGGGTCTTAATCAAAATTTTCTTAATTTTAATTAGTCTACATTTTATTATTAATATTTGGGTAAATTACAAAGACCCCCCTGTACTATGGGGTCTGTGACAAAGACCCTCCTTTACTTTGTTTTGCAACGAAGACCCCCCTGTACTATGACTGTGAGACAAAGACCTCCTTTCGTTAGCCTTCCGTCCAAAAAGACCATTGCAATATTTTTTAATCCCCATATTTCCCTTGTAATAACCATTATGATGAGAAAAACATTGTTCATCTTCCCCGACCTCACGATACACTAACAACAGCGGCAGTAATCCCCTCTACCTCATATTCCTTCACATTTCTCTCTCTCTCTCTCTCTCTCTCTCCCTCTCTCTCCCTCTTTCTCTCTCCCCCCGATCTCTCTTCTTCCCCTTCCCCTTAACAGCATCGGGATTGAACCCATTTTCACGAGTTTGATGCGATTGCTTTGAACGAGTGAGAGGTGATACAAAGCTAGTGCCGAGTCGTGCCGAGCCCACTCGCTCTCGGACTAGAGTAGGTGCAGAAGTGGCGGCAATGCCCCTAACACCCCTATCACCGTTTTGTTGTCATCATCAAGAGCCAGGCTGAAGAGGGCACTAGCCGGTGATGTACGAGGGGGGGGGGGGGTAAAGTAGTTAGTTGGGTTCATGCATGTAATAGGGTTGCGGTGCCAAAATCTCAACCTCGATTGTTAATCTGTTGTCGACCCATTTGTTAGCTTTGGATTTCAGCTTCAATATTGCTTCTTTGCTGAAATGAAAGATCCTCTCACTTAGAGGGGCATTGACAGAGAACATCACCTGGGGACTGCCCTCAGGGAATTGAAGCACCGCAAGAGAACCGTTGACAAAATTGCAGTGAAAATCCAATGGCCTCGTGAGTTTGTTGACACCCCTACACACCTCGACAAAGGCGTTGAAGAAGTTCCAGAAGGACGTATTGTCAGCCACCGTGTGGTTGACAGTGCACCTGATGAAGATTCCGTTAGCGAGCTCAGTCACCTAGACGGCGGCTATGGGCTTGAAATTGCTGTCGTAGCTGATGGTGCGGTCAAAGGCGAAGAACTCCTTAACGGAGTCTAGCACATGGACAAGAGAGAGAATGTCACGAATGAGGAGGTGAGCAATGTTGGCATGGAGAAAGTCGATGCTAGCATCATTGCAGGCAATGTAAACGTAACCGTCATCATAAGTTGCGAGACGGCCAACGAGGGCAAGAAAATATATCAGAGTCTTGGAAAGGTTGCGTTTAAGAAGAGAGAGAATAGAATCGATGGGAAGAAGACGAGTGTAAAAGAGGCCCTTCTATATATAATGGCAGGAGAGCATAGGGAGATCAAAGACGGAAAGCTTGAGTAATCCAAGCGAGGATTCCTGTTCTGGGAACACAATGCATTTGGAGATGATCGTAAGAGAAGACGAGGAAATCATTTTGTTCTCTCAATGTCTCACCCTCTCTCTCTCTCTCTCTCTCTCTTTCTCACAACTCTTTGCCTTTAGCTCAAAAGCCCTGAGAGCCCTGGGGAACGATAAGGGAGGGGTGGGGGTATATAAAGGGGAGGATGAACACATTTGGGTTCATGCACTATGGTAGTTAGTTGTTGTTGCTACTTTATCCCCCCTATACAGCCTGGTGCATGGGTTCATGCACTTTCACCGACCCCATTGTACTTTAGCCNCCCCCCCATCACCGGCCAATGCCCTCTTCAATCTAGCTTCTACACTTGCTCTAATCCGAGATCGAGCGGGCTCAGCACAACTCGGTGCTAGCTTTGTATCACCTCACTCAATCAGAGCAATCACACCAAACTCATGAAAATGGATTCAATCTCGACACTGTTAAGGGAAAGGGGAAGAAGAGAGATTAGGGATGGCAATTTCGTAGGAATTTTTGGGACCCAACCCAGCCCTAATAGGATCCGTTTATCAAAACCCTATAAGGTTTTGGACGGGTTTGGGATTTTAGACTAAAACCCTATAAGGTTTGGGTTTTAACTTTAGAGTATCCGATACCCGATACCTGGGATGCACAAATATGAACCTATTATATTATATATCATGCACAAATTTATAAATTTTAAGTACTAAGATAATTATTTTATTATTAATATTTTATTTGTATAAATTTCTTGGGATTAAAATCATCATTTGATGTCAATTTGGATTTGATAGATTGTTTATTTAATTTAGTTATAAAATGCTAATTTTAAATATTATTTCTTTTAATTTTTAGTTGGAATTGTTAATCATATATATATATTGATTGTTTTGATGAATACAAAAATTAATAAAATCTATTTTATTTCATTAAATAACACAAAAGGCGAGATGACTTAGTGCCTTAAAGTAGTGTTAAGAGATTTGATATTAATGTATCGTGAGAGTGAGAGTGAGAGAGAGAGAGAGAGGGAGAGAGAGGGGAGAGAGAAATGTAAAGGGATATGAGATAGAGGGGATTACTGCCATTGATATTAGTGTACCGTGAGGTTGGGGAAGATGAACAATGTTTTTCTCATCCAAATAGTTATTATAAGGGCAGTATGGAAATTAAAAATTATTGCAATGGCCTTTTTAGACAAAAAGTGAACAAAAGGGGGTCTTGTCTCATGGTCATAGTACAGGAGAATCTTTGTAATTTACCTTAATATTTTATTTTATTAATAATTATGACTTAATTAATAATTTTAATATTTTAATTTTTTCCAAATTAATTAATTGACTAATGTTTTTATTATTTATTTATTAAATTATATATTATTAAAAAATTAATAATTTATTTATAGGTCATGGATCTAATATTAACTCTTAGAGATGCGTTAAATAAGGTAATTTTTTTCGCAAAGAGGCTGGCGGACAGCAGTCACAGCACTACAAGTGAAATATAAAATAAAATATTTTAAGAAATACATTTTTCACCAAATATAGCTTATAGGCTGTCGTGTGAACCCATTTCGGAAAGTCAAAAGCATCCTTACTATTAGTTGTCTTCACTCTTCACCTCTTAGAGTACGCACATTGTCTTCACCTCTGCATACTTTGATTTTTGATAGCAGGCAACCTCGAGAGTCGAGACCAGAGAGTGGAACAAATGTGGAAAGCATCCTACGGAAGGAACGGAATGATAACAAATTGGCAATACGCAACTATTTGTTACTAAAAAGGGCGACAGACACCCTCTTGTTTGGAAAACTACTATTTCTAAACTACTGCAGGATCCAGCAGATTTCAACTCATTGAAACATTTTCATGGTGAGGGAAGGAGAGCTCGAGATATCAAGCACAACACCGTCTATAGAGAAGTTAATCAAACTGCAGATTTTTAGCTAGTTTAAAATTTTAAATTACCAGATGGATTTCTTTAATTGCAATAATAGTTGTTTTCTGATCTCAAACTATATTGGTTTTGTATTGGATTTCTGGGGAAGGGCCATCCCCCTTAAATAGGCCCCATTTTATCCTACCGAAAATAAAAAATAAAAAAAAAAAGACCTCATTGAAACATTTCAATGACAGATCATGCACCCAAAAATCTTGTAAGTTTTACCAAGAAATGCTAATTTAATTGTTCCCACTTATCGAAATCCATTAAAAAGAGTAAAAGAATGGCACCACTGATATTCCACATGATTGGGATGAATGAATAATAAAGGAGCCATCTAAATGCTATACTTGTTCTTTGAAACTATATACAGATTACGACTGTACAACTTACCGTTGTTGGGATCCTTGTATACTGGAATCTGGAATTATTAACAGAGGGAAGGGCCAATACGAGAATAAGGATAAAGAAGACATTGAAATTTGAAAATAAAGGAGAGGGGGCTGGGGGAGGACAAATTTGAAGGGAATAACCTTGGCTACAAGCCTACAGCATATTCTGGTCCCCAAATGTGTTTTCTCCGCTGTAAGTAACATAGAGAAATCCATCTTCATCCTTCTTCTCGTCATATATTGTCGACATTATAGCTCCTGTAGCAACAAAAAACAAGGTATTAGCTTTTGATGTCAAAATTACAAGACTCACAACTCTAATGCATAAACCTACATTGGTTTTTAATTTACGGTTGAGTGGGGAAGCAATATAAAATTGTCAAAATGATACCTGTAGGTGGGAGGACATTGTCTACAAAAATGAAGATTGCCTTTTCTGCACTCAACTTGATTCTCTTCCGTATTACATACACAAATTGTCCCACCGTCAAATCAGCAGGAACAAGGTACCTGAAATTCTCTTACCCAGGTTATTAGAAAATGAAATTGGATTAATTTAGATATGTGAGGATGACTACTATGAAATTGTCAAATTCCCCCAACTCTCAGCATTCAATATTTACCAAGACCCTCAATACTGATACAATATGACACATATCAATGATTTGAAGTTTGAACCTTGGTTTCCATTGTGATTATAGTAGTAATCCTGTTTTAGGACTTTTTTCATAAAATCAGAAGAAACTACTGAGCAATTCAATCTATTCTTAAAAATGCAAATTAGATAGATTAGCTAGAATAGTCACAAAGCAATGAGATGAGACAAGACAGCAAATACTAGATATGACAATAAACCAAAAAGGCACCGTGTATTGGGTACATCACCCTCTCAACATGTAACAATAACCAGAACGATAGCTCCACAACATGGCAAAGCAATCTATTTCCTAAGCATTCTTCCACTATCACCACCACTAATTTTGGGAGGGTGTATTGGGTACATCACCCTCTCAAAAATGAATACAAGTCAATTTTCTACTTTTTTCCCAAAAGTAATAGCCAAATCAGATAATAGAAACATAAACACAAGAAAATGAAGCAAAACAACTAGTAGCATACTTACTTTTTCTTATCAATGTTTGGAATATCACTTCTCTCAGCCTTCTCCACGATCACCTTAAATTTATAAAGCCAGTGCCACTAAGTTAGAATGGGATCTAGAGGAGTACAAGATGATAATGAATAGTAAGTAGAATTAATTGTACTTTGATAAATGAAAGCCCCAAATGACTGTAAAAAGAAAATTAAACTAACCAACCACAGAGAATTTGCTCTGTTTATCAATTAAAGAAGGAATTTTAATAAACCTTTAACCTCTTGCTACTAGCAAGGAGTGAAGATGGGATATTAATTCAAGTTATGGAGTCAAGTTGGCTACTTCCAAATGTTAGATGGGGTTATGGCATAAGAGCTGCTAAAGATATAAATGGGCTTTAAAATACAAGCAACAATGGAAAACCAAATGGAACAACTTTTAGTTGATTAGACAAGGGAGGAATAGGATAGGAAAGATTAGTGAAGGATGAAAGTTCAAATATGAAAGAAGAGTGGAGAACCACACCTACCCTTCTGCACTTTCATTATTTCCCCCTACCTTTCCTTCCTTGAAAAGCAATATGCAGGCACATATAATTCATAATCCTATGGAGAAAGCTCTCTCCTTCCCTATGTATATGCATAAGATTCATAACCCCACAGAGAAAAGTTCTCTGACACATTTGCTAGTTGGGTTATCTAGAGAAATCTAAATGAAACAGGAATCTTGCACATTGCACCTTGTTTTTGGCCAGAGAAAGTGGTCCATGTTCCTCTCTTTAGGCTGTGTTTGTTTTGATGGGAAAAGTAGGAAAAGGAAAGGAAAGGTAGGGAAACCCATACAAGGTTTGTAAAGGTTTCCCTACCTTTTCCCTTCCTTTCCCTACTTTTTCCTTTAAACCAAACATAGCCTTAAGGTATACATTTAAACCCAGTCTTGTGTCCATAATAAGACATTCTTTATGGACCTCTTTTAACAAAAATAACCAATCCAAAAAATAAAAAAAACAAAAGAAAGAAAAGAAAAGAAAAGCCATATCCCAACTGTACAGTTAACGGGACCAGCTACATGAATCCTGTTTTGCTATTCCACAATATATTACATGGTTAAATTGTGAGCCTTCAACTCATTTTTGACCGCTTCAGCACATATTCTTTTTAGTTCATGCCATAGTTAGACCTTTTAACTTGCATCAAATCACTTCCTAGTGGTGCAGTATTTTGTCTTCTACGTAGGCACTAAAACCATAATCTATCTTCCCTCATTTTACCTTCTATCAGGGCAACAACCAACTCCCCATGAATAAGCTCACTGCTACCCTTCCTGAATTTTGCCACTAATCCATCTCAACATCCACATCTCTACTACAGTCATTTTCTGAATAAGTTGCCTCTCGGCAGCCCAAAACTCTGCCCTATAACATGTCTGTGGTTTAAAAGAGAAAACATATGAAATGTACACTTACTGCATAAAGTGCAATGGAGGTGTACACCGTTCTATACAACCCCCCCCTCCCGTACTAGAGGTGTACTCGCATGATTCCATGCTCTACAGCATGCCTTAAAGCATTCACCTAGAGGCACAACATACACCTCTAGCACCTTTTATAACACTGTTATAAATACATGTACTCAAGGCAGACATTGTTATTCTACTATGGCTCAAAGAGAACAGAAGACCAAAAAACACATGGTTGATGTAGGGAAAATACACAAGGATTTATCATCTAATAGAAAATAAGGAGATATGGAATTAATCAGAGCAGAATAGCAGAAGGAAGATTCATGGACATGGGGATATGAAGAGCTGAGAGGAGCTAAGTTGATTTTATTTCAGTTCAGTCTCATCAAGGAGAAAACTTTTCAAGAGATAAGAAGTACTTTTAAGCTTGTACATTGTTCGCTAATGAGTTAAGCATACAAACTGCATCCAGTGAAGTTAACGCTGCATGCCATGGCAATGACCAGTTGGTGCAAGAACCAAATGCCAAATCTAAGATTTTTTTTTTTTTTTAATTTCTATGCGGGTATGGATCATAGATAGCTATTAACTGATTATTTGACACAGATTTCCTAGTTGGATTGAAAGCTTGTTTTCCTAGTTATTGTAAGAGTTAGTTTTCCTAATTGGATTAGGAGTTAATTAGAAAGTGAAGAGTTATATTAGTAAGTCAACACTGAAATGACTAATTGGTGCCTTAGGGGCCACTGGATAACAGCTGAAGTGTCTGGACTGAATGACTTACTGATTTGCCTTTTAGTGGATAAAGTAATATAATAAAATATTTGATGTATGGTAATTAAGCCAACTTCAGCTTCAGCCACGAAAGATATCATAACCTCCTTTGTAACTTATCCACTAAAAGACAAAGCTATGCACAATTCAGTTCAGCCACTTCAGCTGCTATCAAATGGCCCCTTAGTGAGGAATAGTTGACAAGCATGAGAGCATGGGCTCAAGTCTGAGTCTCTGAGAACAGCCACTTTATGCAAAAAAGTGCCAAAGGTCTGTATCCAATCCACCCATCCCTAGAGGCCAAGACCCCAGATAGCTAGGACCAACATTGGGTAATAGTCTTTTCATATATAAATATAAAATTATAAATATACAGAAAAGCATTAAAATCTAAAGTGTTTAGCTGGTCAACTAGCAATAGGGTGTCCTAATTGCATGGTCGGTGAGTAATCAATGTAGATCTTAGATGCTAAGGTGGTCACTAGTAACACATTGCCTACATTGGTTGCATATATTAACAGTAGATCCAATATCAAATGGCAAAGTCTTTTGACAAATTATTTTCTATGTATTGCATTCCAAATACATCAAAATGGCAGTATGACACTTAAATGCGTTATGCAGTTGAGTTTCTCAAATATCATGTTACAATTCTTTGCTTTAACCACAGCTAACAGAAACATAAGAGAAAGGCAACATCAAGCATCAATTCAACAAAGATATCCAAATATCTAAACGTCCATGAGAAATGAAATCAGGAATTAAAAAAAATGGAAACAGCTAACAAAATCTCCGGCCAACCCAAAGTCCCAAACAAGAAAGCACAAAGAGGACGTGAACCAACGATTAAGTTCCAATTCTCACCGGAATCCTGTCTGGATATTTCTCCCTAATTCTAGCAGCCTCAGCACGCCTCTTCTCTAAACACACATAATCAAGAAAACATCATTCTCACGACATTGGAAATAAAGGAACAGACTAGAAGACAAGAATCCAGTAGATGACCAATACACACAAAGACCAGCACATACCAAGGTCATGATCCTGTTTGAAGTAGCTTTTTGCCATTTCTTCTTGGAACTACAGTGAAATAAGAAATTAAGCTTTTAATGGAAAACCATGTTTTCAAAAAGGAGATTAAATATCGAACAACTAAGAACAAGAACCAGCAAGAAAAAGAATCTTGATATCCAAAAATATAAATATTTTCATAAAATAAACAATATAACAAGTCAACACAATAAGTGAAAATTACAAAACATGAACCCTAATTTAGAGCTTCAACATGCACAAACCTTATTAATTAAACAACAAAAATGAAGAATAAGAAAGACAGTGTTGTATTACTTTTCTTTTAAAACAGAAAGAAAAACAAAATTAAGCATGAATATCTGCCTCAATTAAGCAAAAATATAAACAGAAAAAAGAAATTGCACAAACAAGAAGTTCTGGCTAAAAAGAAAATCTGCAAAAATCCTAAACTTCTAAATAGGTTTGTTTTATCGACATCAATGTGAAACCCAGGCAGTAAAAAACAATAACAATAACTAGCTGATAAAATCTTCAAGAAGAGAATACGATCAATACTTTTAACAAAATAAAAGAAAAATATGGATAAACACAAATTAGAAAACTTAGTAACAAACACCTCGTCATCTCAAAACAATTCTCAATTTATGAGTCCACAGAGTAATCTATCATCGATGAAGTACAGATGGAAACATGTAAAAACAAAAAAGAATAAAAATCAAGAAAATAAAACATAGAAACCCTAACCTCTTAAAAGGAAGAACTGAAAAAGAAGTACAAAACGAAAACTCCACTTTCCCTGAGCTCTAAAGCGAGGAATCTGATCGTCTGAAGATAAAAAAGATGGCGTCTTTGAAGTTCTCTCTCAGTCTCTCTTATTCATCTTCCTAAAATTTTTTATTAAAATAAATATAAAAATAATAATTAGTCCAACCGCAACGGCGCTACGTATTATCCACGCTGTGGCCTTCTCTCTTATTTATTCCATCACAAGTTTTCTTTTTTTTTTTTTTTGATAAGGGTATGCGGGCCCACCTGACACTTCAATTGAAATTTTCATTTTCTTTTGCTTTTGCTTGTTTTTGTTTGTATACGTATATATATATATATATTTTTTGCCTATTATTAATTAAACTATTATAATTTTGACATGAAGTTTGAAAAGAAAAAGCAATCCTATTTGTACCTTTAGATGGTCCTACAAAAGTGAAGGATTATGATGATATTGATATCTATGGGCCATGTGATGAGAGCTAAGGTTCACCGCATTTTCCCATTTCTTTTATCAAACTATATGACGTCAATCAATCCGGAATCGCGAACCGAGTAGCACGCTCATCGTAACGATCGTCCGGATAAATTTATGACATCATAAATCATATAAAAATATTAAAATACAGAAAATAGATATAATGTAAAAAGATCTAATAACCTTATGAAAATAATTAGACATATATACTTTTTTTGAAAAAAAAAAAGGAAAATGGAAACATCTTCAGAATTGTACATTAGACATAGTTGCATGGTTGTATTTGATGGCCAGCTGGCCTTTACATGCACCGTAGCCTTGTTTAAGTTTTTATCTGCACATGAACAAAAGAAATGGAGCTGTATGTTCCTACTTTTTCCTTCATGCTTCTCCAATGTGAATCGGAATCCGCTTCATATACAGCGCGTCTCACACCGATCTCACAGTTACATCTTATCCCTATAAAAAAACATTTCCCCATAAATAATAAATATAAGTGTACGGCCAGGATACGATGTGAGATGCATTCTGTGAGGAACAGATCCAGACTCCTATGAAACTGCTCCACCCATTCGATTGGATATTCTTGATTTGTTAGAAGCTTTTGCTAACTTGCTAGAGTCCGTATATAAAGTGATAGACTGCATATATGCATTTATAGCTCCTTGAAGCTTTGTAGCCTAAGTCTGCCCAGCAAGTCTGTCCTCAACAATGATTTCACCAGGTGTGTTTGAGGATGAGAGCTCGTCTTGCATTTCCTATATAAGGATCAAATGAACCATCGATTTGTAAATTGTTGATGTCATGGATCTATAAATTAGTGGGTCGGGAATGTTATTGATTTGTTTTTTTTTTTTTTTAAAAAGATTTTTTCATTAACAAAGATCACCTTTTCTTTTTCATCAGTTATTTATCAAATTATGCATCTTAAAAAATCTTGGGGAATTGATCAGCGAGAGATTCTGTAATTTCATTGTTGTAGAGACAACTATAGTCCTAAATAGCCACACAAACATTGTGGGTGAGAGATTTTATTTCAAAAACCCCTTTCTGGAAGATCCAGGGATTGGCCTGCATACGACAATCCTCTTGTTAACGGTCGAAAGAATGCTAGACAACTATGTGAGCATACCATAGTAGGAGATTCCAGGGGAATCATTTTTAATAAAAAATAATAATCTTCTTTCAATCATCAACACTTTTGTCATGAAAAAGTTTTTCAAGTAGCATTAGAGACAATCATTCCATTGCATTTCTGCACAAAAAATGAATTGTCTTCTTAAGTTTTGTTGTTCGGATTATCATCCTCCAACAAAGAGAGGAAATCTATAAACACCCCATTTTTGTGACCGTTAGCCTTTTTACAGCACTTTGAGCTTCAAGCATGCTTCAATTAACCTCTAATATGACCTAAGGGTCATTTTTTAAATTTTAAAAAGTTTGGATTTCAAAGATCCAAAACCTTAGGTATACAGAGCCAAAAATCCAAATCCAACGACATCATGATCACCCAAATCCGATACCATTTACTCCCTTCATTTTAAGACACGAAGCCATAATCAATTTCGATTGTCCGATTGGAGTCATTTTGATCCTAAATCTCATCTCATGTCAAATTAGAAATCCAAGGCCATAAATACTTAGAGACCAAAAGTCCAAATCCAATGACACTAAGATCACCCAAATCCGACATGGTTTACCCCTTCATCTTAAGACCCAAAGCTAGAACCGATTTCAAACGTCCCATCAGAGTCATTTTGATCTTGAAACTCATCTCACGTCAAATCAGAAATCTAAAACCATAGGTATGCAAAACCAAAAGTCCAAATTTAGCAATACTAAGATCACTCAAATCCAACACCATTTACCCCTTCATCTTAAGATCCAGAATCGGAACCAATTCTGATCGTTCGATCGGAGTCATTTTGATTATGAATCTCATCTCATGTCAAATCAGAAATTCAAAACCATAGGTATGCAGAGCCCAAAAATCCAAATTCAGCAACATCAAGATCACCAAAATCCAACATCATTTACCCCTGCATCTTAAAACCCAAAGCTAGAACCGATTTCAATCGTCTGATTGGAGTCATTTTGATCATAAACCTCATATTACGTCAAATTAAAAACCCAATAACATAGGTATATAGAGCCTAAAAATCTAAATCTGAGGACACCAAGATCACCCAAATCCGACACTCTTTACCCCTTTATCTTAAGACACGAAGTCGGAATCAAATCCAATTGTCCAATCAAGATTATTTTTTCATCTTGAACCGCATGCCACAAAAAATAAAAAATCCAACCTTATAGATGAATAGGGCTCGAAATTTTGAGTGCAATGATTCTATGATCATCCAATAATGACACCGTTAACCCCTCTATCTTGAGACCTGAAGTTAGACTTGATCAGGGCCCTCCGTCTAGAATCCTCTTCACTACAACTTGGAACCTTAGGACCCACATGACCAAATCTTTCTTCCAACCTCTAGAACCATATTAAAATTTAAAATTTAACCAATTAAGGAGCCTCCAAACAGTCAAAACAATTACCTAAGCTTGAAATGTTCAATTTAGGTAAATTGGTAAAAATTTTCACTTATTGCCTTGATTGATTGAGAGGATTTCTCCCAAAACTGTCTTGACAGTCATTTCCCTCAATCAATCTTGATGATGCACGATCTGGCCGGTCTTAGCTGTTGATGATCTTGCCTCCGAAATGAGTAACAGGGACCTGAAACGGGAGGAGAAGAGAAGCTCCGGGGAAAATCCGGCGTAAGGGCTCCGAAGCTCAAGTTAGAATCCTTCAAAGGCAAGAATA